GAAGCATTGTATTGGGGGGAAACGCATGTAGACTTTGCTACCGAGGCTTTCGGTGGAGTTCCTTATGGGGCCACAAAACGCTACATTGGGTGGAGGAGACGCATGTGGGTGGTGCCTTTGTGGCCTCCAGTTGAGCCCTATGGGGCCACGAAACGCCGTGTTGGGTGGGGGAGACGCATATGGACACGGCCACTGGGGCATTGGGTGGACCTCCCCTATGGGGCCACGAAACGCCGTGCTGTATGGGGGGGACGCATGTGGACACCGCCACTTGGGCCTTGGGTGGACCACCCTATGGGGCCACGAGACGCCGTGTTGGGTGGGGGAGTCGCATTGTGGACACCGCCACTGGGGCCTTGGGTGGACCTCCCTATGGGGCCACGAAACGCCGTGCTGGTGGACACCGCCACTGGGGCCTTGGGTGGACCTCCCGATGGGGCCACGAAACGCCGTGCTGGGTGGGTGAGACGCATGCGGACACCGCCAGTGGGGCCTGGGGTGGACATCTCTATGAGGCAACGCAACTCCGTGCTGGGTGGGGGGGACGCGTGTGGACACCGCCACTGCGGCCTTGGGTGGACCTCCCTATGGAGCCACGAGACGCCGTGTTGGGTGGGGGAGACGCATGTGGACACCGCCACTGGGGCCTTGGGTGGACCTCCCGATGGGGCCACGAAACGCCGTGCTGGGTGGGCGAGACGCATGTAGACACCGCCACTGGGGCCTTGGGTGGACCACCCTATGATGATGCTGATGATAAGGATGAGGATGAGGATGATGCTGAGGATAGTGAGGATGCTGAGGATGCTGGTGATGCTGATACTGATGATGATAAAGATGATGATGACGACGATGAGGACATGCGCAGGGCAGAGGCAGGGATGGGAGGAGGGAGGAGGGGAGGAGGGAGGAGAGGAAGGAAGGAAGGAAGGAAGGAAGGAAGGAAGGAAGGAAGGAAGGAAGGAAGGAGGGAAGGAAGGAGGGAGGGAGGGAAGGAAGTAGGGAACGCGACAACCGTCTCTTCAAAACGAGGACCCAACACCACAGGACGGTTGGGGAGAAGAGAAGGAGGAAGAGAAGGAGGAGGAGGAGGAGGAGGAGGAGCAGGGATGATGCGGAGAAGGAGCAGGGACGATGACGAGCGGGCCGAGGAGATACCTCAGGTCGGTACGATCGGAATGGGCACGGAAAGAACGGGCACGAAGATTGACAGTATTTGTTGTCCGTTTCGAACCAGGCGTTTTCGCCAGGTTTCGGGCCGCGAGACCCTCACAGATCGATCCAGCTAAGAAAATGGCGCAGAAGGATGGGGTTTGGCGTTCTGGTTGTGATTGTTCCCGATGTTGCGTTTTCGGAAAACTTCGGACCCCAGAAAAGACCGACAGCGCTTCTTGCTCATTTTGAACAGGGTCCGCTGTCCGTGCCACCGCGTGCGTTGTTCACTTGAGACAAAATGCCGCCTGCCCCACAGCGGCCGCTGTTGGTTTGGGACAACATTTGTCGTTGGTTTTTCCGTGCCCATTTTGCAGACGTCCAAATCAAGCGCAACGTTAGGGGGGGATATGGCCGGGAATTGTGGCTTAGCGTGTCGCGCCGCTGGTTCTGGCCCACCCCGAAAAAACGGGCGAGAGAGGATCAGCTGGAAGTTTGTCTGTCTCAAAAGCCTCGCGGCTGCGTGCTAGGCACCAGCCTTAGGCTTGCCCAGCTTCTTCTGAACCAAGATGCTGTGATTCCATCACACGTGCAGCCAGTTCTGGCCCACCGCATTTCGGCGCGAAACGCTCAATCCACATCCCAGTCCCCAGGCGTCAACGTCCCGAGCCTTCCGAGCTTCCCGCCTCGCGGAGCGGAGCGGCACGCGATCCACTTGTGAGGCATAGCGTGTCGCCGGGGCCGCCGCGGCGACACGCTAAGCACAATGTTGCGACCGTATGCAGGGGGGAACCCAGACATGCTCGCGTCGGGAAGGAAACGCGACACAAGGTTTTTGACCGCTTTCGGCCTTCAGGGACCCTCGCGGGGCCCCGGGACCACAAACAACGGTTCGGGATGAAAGCCAGCCTTGAGGAAAGTATCGCAATTTCAAGGGACCCCGCATTGAAAGAATCAAGGCATCTGACGTCGGGGGGAAGGCATCGACCCGCGATCACCCATTCATCGCCGATGGGGGGCCCGATAGCCCACTCCGCCCAGGACCGTGCAGGTTTGCTACCGGGGTTCTGTCGAAGACGTATTGCCCATTCCAGGTCGACGTTTCCCACCCTGAGTTGGTCCCCCCCTGACGTTCCCCCTCAGAAGGGATGCCAGACGCACGCGCCACTGGCGCGAAACGTTTGGGGGGGGGCGCCGCGCGCGAGGGTAAACGATCTTCGGATGTTTGCGGTTGCTCTTGGAGGTTCTCTCCTGCCTCGGGGTGCGTTCCGGCTGCGCCTCTCCGAGGGCGTTCTGCGGGAGCGGATCGTCCCGAAGGGCCACCAGAGATCCGAATTACGATTTGAAAATTAGGTGGATTCTTTTCAGTTACACAATATAAATACTAATGTCCTCTCTCCCCCGAAGACGCTGGTTAGGTGTCCTGGTGTCATTCGCGTGTTGTCTTTGACACACAGGATGACGCCGAATTAGTAATTCATATGTGCGTTTTCAATCCGATCGTTTTAAGCCTTTTCCGAATGACGTTCCTGCTACAGCGCTGGCTCCATTGCCCCGTTCTCGATCCTTCCAGATCATGTTCCGGCTGTAGCGCTACTCATTGCATCGTTTCGGTTCTTCCAAATCGTGTTCTTGTTGCAGCGTTGGCTTCGTTTCTGCGCTTCCAGTCCTTCCAAATCACGCTCCCACTGCAGCGCTGGTCTCATTTCTGCGATTTGGGTTCTTCGAAATCGTGCTCCCGTTGCAGCATGTTACGCTTCCCGCGTTCCAGACCATCCGTTTGCATGTCCCGTCCTGTGTCATTTCTGGCTTCCCTCTGACCTTGTCGAAATGAGTCGCGTTCTCGACGCGATACCATGCTATGCTGTGCTATACCATGCATCGCGCACTCTCGGGATCATCGCCCTGTTCGACCTCCGACTGTGTGAATAGAGAGGATATCTACGCAACGGTAAGGGATGGGAGTGAGGGGAAGGACGTCAGATATGACGCTTGCGCACCTAGCGTGTCCTCCTCCACCTCCTCATCGCCCCTCTCCACGCCCTCCTGAGGGGGAGTAGGTTGACTTGGGGGAGGAGGAGGAGGAGGAGGAGGAGCAGGAGCAGGAGCAGGAGCAGGAGCAGGAGCAGGAGGCCGGGCTGGGAATACGTTCGGCGGAGAGCCCAGGGGGGAAGGCGTGGAAGATGTCCCAGAAGACGCGAGGGATTCTGAGAAGCCCCGCCGCTTTCTGAGAAGGCCTGTCCCCTCTCACTTCCCCCCTGGGCTCGCCGCCTATGCTTCTTTGATCTCGCTCACGCCTGCCCATCTTCCATGAATTTCAAGACGCTGGACATGAGGGCCACTTTGGGTTCAGGGGGGGGTCTGTCGCTCTCTTTAGATCCAGGTTCGGGCAACCCGCTCGTGGCCGAGGTTCTACGCGGCCAGACAAGCCCCTTCGTTGCGCACTCACCGCTTGTCTTTGGTAGCACGACATCCGCATTCTGGAACCAGCCTACGGTCGGGAAATGTTGGATAGCGTGTCCCTGCGCTGGTTCTGCACGCTGTCCACTTCCCAGCGCCTCAGCGCCAACGTCCCGAGCTTCCCGCCCCGCGGAGCGGAGCGACAAGTCCGCTCGCATGGCACAGCGTGTCGCCCGAGCCGCCGCTGCGACACGCTGAGCAGAAGCTCAGGGGGCTGATCCGCCGTCCGCCGCGCGTGCCCGCCGTCGCCGCTTCAGGGGGGTATTTGGGGCTGCCTTTGGCGTCTCCTGGGCCGCCCCGGGACCGCCTGGAGCCGTCGCAGGGCCCTCCTGGAGGCCTCTTGGCCCGTCTCGGGTCGCCGGGGAGGGCGTCTGAGCGAGTTTGCCAAAATGGTCGGTTTTCCCCTAGGAACTGGACCAGTTTTGGCTTGTTGGCACCCTCGCGGGGGGTGCTGTGGAAGCTCTCGGGTGGCGTCTTGGAGGCTTCGAGGGCTGTCTTGAAGCCATCGGGGTTCGTCGAGAAGCCCCTGAGGGGCATGCCGAAGCCATGCAGGCCGTCCAGGACCATCTCTGAGGCGGCCGAGTGCGCCGCGCCGGCACATGTCACACAGACCTCCCCTCCAAAGCGGCCAGACGGGACCCCCCCGGGAGGGGTTTGGGGCATGCCGTAGACCACAAAGAGTCGGCGGACTTGTTCGAATTCGGATACAATGGCGGCAATGGCGGGTCCACAGCAAAATATGCGGTATGGTTTCATAAGGTTTGGTGGTTGTCATTGCCTTTTTGGTACAAGGCGTTGGTGTTTGCTTTGAGTGATGTTGCCGAATTGTTCTATACAAAAGGGTAACTTAAGGTAGGTGTCGCCCACCACGACACACAGACCGGTTGTTAGAACATTGAATAGGGTTTGGACACAACAGCAGAAAGCATTTCGATATGTCTACGCTTCTACTAGATACGCAAATACGGACCCCCACCGTTCAAACAACACAAATACAAAGTCACAAGGCTTAGAGGAATACCAGCCAGGTGTCTTTCAAATAAAACAGCTTGGCATGTGTTGTATGTTGTGGGCCCGCGAGTACAATGTATTCCGCATTTTCTTTCTCAATCTGACATTGAACTCTGAAATACACCCTCGTTGTAGTTCCATATTCTTCAAACCCTCGGGGGACAGAAACGTTATTTCATGGTGTGTAGTTGTTGAGACGTCATGCCATGGCCAAACCATGTCCAAACACAGTGCTAAGTCCCGTTGTGGAGCTACCGGCACCTCTGCTTCCACCTGTAGATGGGTCATTTCGTTTGTTTCGAATCGCGAGGTGAGTGTGCATTCGCAGTTGCACGTCCATTCTACATGTTCATGCGCATTTGCATAAACACACGTCCATGACTCCTGCAGTCAGGGAAGAGGGCAGCAAAACGAAATGTTGGGGTGTTGACGAGCACGTTCTAGATCATACGTCAGCGAAGTTGCGAAGGACCCCCCTTGGCCCTACCAACCTGCCACTATGCCGAGGCAAGCCAGCGCGTCGCGCGTCTGAATCGGCGGCAACGGGTCTCCCCCCCTCTACGTCGCAAGAGTTGCGCCCGGCTGCCTTGCCAGGTGGAACCCGCGGCATCGACGGTGAGATCGTGTGCGTAGCTTGCGTGATACAGGCCCGATGTCTTTGTTTTTCCATCCACGCCTGGCAGAAAGTCTAGCGAGAGCCCTGTTCAGGGCCAGGGCGAGCAGGGGCGTCCAGGACGGCTGTTCCTTTCTTTCGCCTTCGAGGGATCGACGAGTTGACATCCCTTCCGCGGCGGAAGCCAGCGGATGCAAAACGGAGGCGAATCCGCCTGCGGAAGCCGGCGGAAGTGAACACATGCGTCCCTTGAAGGGTTATATTTTGGAGGGAGTCGGGGTTTCAGGAACTGGCAGCATTTACAAGCGATCCCTTTGTACGGTACACCAAGAAATCTCCGCATCGAGAGTGTGATCCCGCCCACGTGAGCAAGGTTACAGAAATTAGCACGTCCATGTTGTAGACAAGCTGAGTCATGAAGTTTGTCAGGGTGCCCACAGAAGCATCCCTCCTCCTCTCTTCCTCCTCCTCCTCTTCATCCTCTTTCTCTCTCTGTCCCTCTCTCTCTCTCTTTCTCTCTCTCTCTCTCTCTTTCCCTCTTTATTCGTATATGTATTTATATATATATATGTGTGTCCCTCTCCCCTTCTGTCAGTTTATATTTGTGCGTATCAATTCACATGTCTTTCGTTGTCTCATCGTCATCGTCATCATCATCATAATCAGCAGCAGCATCACCGTCATCAGAAGCATAATTATCAGCATCGTGATCGACTTTGTCAGCATCGCCATCATCATCATCATCATCATCATCATCATCATCATGATCTCCATCATCATCATCATCATCATCATCATCATCATCACCATCATCAGCAGGATCGTCGCCACTGTCATCAGCATCACCATCATCATCGCCGTCGTCGTCCGCATCAGTATCATCAGCATCAGCATCATCATCATCAGCATCATCATCATCATCATCATCGTCGTCGTCGTTGTCGTCGTCATCATCAGCAGCATCATCTTCCTCTTCAGCATCCTCATCGTGATCATCAGCAGCAGCATCATCATCCGCATGCTCGTCCTCGTCCTCGTTCTCTTCCGCATGATCCTCATTCCTCCTCCTCCCCCCACGGTCCGTCCTGCTCCTCATCCTAACTCTACCGATGCCCCTCCTCCTCCGTCTCCTCCTCCTACTCCTCCTCGTGCTCCTCCTCATCCTCATGCTCCTCATCATCATCAGCATCAGCATCGGCATCATCAGCCTCATCAGCAAGAGCATCATCGTCATCAGCAGCATCATCATGATCATCATCGTCATCATCGTCATCATCATTCTCGTCCTCGTCCTCGTTCTCATCCACATGATAATCAGTCGTCCTCCTCCCGCCATTATCCTACCTCCTCCTAATTCTACCGATGTTCTTCCTCCTGCTCATCCGCCTCCTCCTCATCCTCCTCCTGCTCCTCCTCCTCCTGATCATCCGCCTCATCATTCTCCTCCTCCTCCTCCTCATCCTTTCACTCCTCAGACATGTATCGAATCGGATGATCGTTGATAGGGATTCCCTCTCACCTTCCTCGTCTCTCTCATCCTCCTCCTCCTCCTCCTCCTCCTCCTCCTCCTCCTCCTCCTCCTCCTCCTGGACGCGGACGCTGGTGCTGAGCGAAACGCGCGGGTGGGCCACGATCAGCTACAACGTTGGGAGCAGTCCGTGTGAGAAAGGGCGAGCGCAGTGGTAGCGGACGCTGGTGCTGAGCGAAACGCACGGGCGGGCCACGATCAGCTACAACGTTGGGAGCACGTCGTGCGAGAAAGGGTGAGCGCAGTGGCAGTGGACGCTGGCGCTGGGCAAAACGCGCGGGTGGGCCACGATCAGCTACGACGCTGGGAGCAGTCCGCGCGAGAAGGGGGGCGCGCAGTGGCCGCGGATGAGGGGAATGCACCCCGCAGACCCTGGCGCTGCGAGAAAACGGCTGCGAGAAGTGGTAAGCCATGATAGAGCCCGACGGCATCTCATTAACTCCGCTAAGAACAGTCGTGCACAAAAGTACAGGGGCGTACATCACCAACTACAGTGCTGGGAAAAGCTCGTGTGCGGAACGCTGGGGAGCAATCGTGCGAGGCAGGGTTGCATTTCATCGGGAGCCAGTCGAAAGCCTCTTGCGAGAAACGGGGGGCGAAGCTGGAGCCCAATATCGTCGGGAGCGCCAGCGCCAGCCTCTTGCGACAAGCGGGGGGCGAAGCTGGAGCCTAATTTCGTCGGACGTGTTCTACGCCGAAGGGTTGAGATCAATTCATGCGAGAACACTTCGGGGATCGTGGGGCCGGGAAGGATCTCACCTACAGTGCAGGGATCGGGTCGTGCGAGAACCAAGGCAGTGGCAGCAGGTCCTGTTGCCGCGGGGATCCGACGAGCCCGTCCAGGCTACCGTGTCGAGATCAGCTCGCGGAAGATTTTGTGAGAGAAGCCCTTTTGAGGCAAGCCCTCAGACGGCACGGCGTTCTGGCTCGGCTAGGGGGAGGCCCGATGCGTCCAGGACGACCCGCGGCGCGATTCCATGGGGCATCGTGTTCGTTCGACCAGCAGAATCCAGCAGAATCCTCGTCCTCCTCCTCCTCCTCCTCCCCTCCGGGCCCGATCTGCGCACACCCTGCCAAGGCCCGGCTGTGTTGCAAGACTTCAGGCGGTTGGGCCAGCCACCACAAGAATGTCTTGAGATACTGGTGCCCATCGACAGTGGTGCCCAACTAGATCTCAATCGCCTCAATGGGCCCCACGACGGGTTCTTTTCGAGCGAGGGATGGCACGTCTTCCCACATGAGTCGGCTTACGAGTGCCACATCCCGCGTCTTGGGGTGGCGAGGTGGGCGGTGGTGGTGACGGACGGGGATGGAATGCTTTTTGAGGGTGGTGCCAATGACCGAGGCACCCCTACAGGCAGTCCGTGATGGAAATGATTTCGCAGTTATCCAGCTGTCTGGAATACAGTGCTGAGCCCAGGCGCTCAGCTCCATACAGTTGGACCGAGGTATAAGATCGTGGTCGGTTCGGGAAGGCTACCCTAACCTTCTGTATGTTTGCTGAATGCTCTTGTGCATTCTGAGGAAGGTACGTGGAAGGTACGTACTCTTGCATGTTCTGTGTGTTTTGGTCGTCGGAGGGTCTCATGCTCTTGAGGGATGTTCTTCTGGCCTAGGTCCGATTGTGTAGATTGTGCTGGCACAGCTGATTGCGCCACAGACCCTCGGATGGCGGCGGGGACCCAGCACCCGAGGGCCCACTGGCGGACCCAAGTGCACGATAAGCTGGACGACTCGGCCGACCAGAAGATCCCGTCTCACTGCTCTGCGGATGACGTCGCCGACGGCCTCCTCACCTGCTGCCCATGGCTCGGCAACCAGGCGGCCGACAGTTCCGCTCGGGGGGGGCCAGTTGTTTTTGCAGCTTAGAGGAGGGCCGCCTTGTCACCGTGGGTTGCCATGGAATTTTGCGCCCACCAAATTTCCAAGTTTGCGGCCAGTTATGAGGTCCATATAGGCGACGCCACCTCGCTTGACAGTTTCTCCCTGGATTGGCTCAGATCCTCCACTCCGGAGTGCCCGCCCTTCACCGGGGATGGTGATGAGGGGGCGGTTGGGGCGGCAGAGGGCGCGGGAGTGTCGTCCGTCGCCGGGGGAGGGAGCACGGGCTCGGCGGCGGCCGCCGCGAGAGCGGCCCGTGGACCTCTGCCAGAGCCGAGCGTGGAGGTATGGGCGAGCCTGGGGCCCTGGAGAGCCCGAGGCCACGCGCGCCTCGAGGCCCCAATCTCATCCCCCACGGGAGCCCCCCGCTGGGACTTCGTGTGGTTCGGTCGGTCACCCTGGGAGCTCCTGGGGTCGCAGTGCTCTCGCGTCGGATTGTCCGGGGCGTCGGCCTGCCGGCCGAGAGCGGCAATTGGATTGGATTTTGCACGGTTAGCACCTGTCCCGGCGTGACGAGCGAGTACGGTCGGCCACCACTTTGTCTCGTACCCAACGACCCCGACGAATCGGATGACGAGCTCGAATTCTTTGATTTTGCACGCGAATTGGGTGGTGCCCTCTCAGCTGGTGCTGCACTCCTCCTCCTCCTCCTCCTCCTCCTCCTCCTCCTCCTCTCCTCCTCCTCCTCCTCCTCTCCTCCTCCTCCTCCTCCTCCTCCTCCTCCTCCTCCTCCTCCTCCTCCTCCTCCTCCTCCTCCCCCTCCCCCTCCCCCTCCTCCTCCTCCTCCTCCCCCTCCTCCTCCTCCTCCCCCTCCCTGGGTTGAGGACTCTGGAGGGGGAGGCGCTCGCGCGGGCTGGCCCGCGTCGCCAGGCCGAGGTGCTGCGCGTCGTCAGCGACCCCGTCCGCCCCAGCAGGCGCCGCAGGCCTCGCTGGGGACTCTGACATCGGGCGGTGCCAAGGGTTCGACTACGTACGGCACGTCGCCGGAGTGGGCCCCCCAAGCACTGGCCTGCGAGCTGAGATCTCGACACCCCGCGGCCCCCGAAAGCCGCGCCCCAAGGGTCACTCTTGCCTGGGGTCACTCTTGCGTGTAGCTGGAGGGTCTCGCGCGTCGCTGCGCCGGTTCTGGCCCACCGCGCTTCGGCGCGACACGCCCCGGTCCGGAGGTTTCGACGTCTCGAGCTTCTCGAAGCTTCCCGCCCCGCGGAGCGCAGTGACACGCCGTCCGCTCGCCAGGCGTACCATGTCGCCGGAGCCGCCGCCGCCGCGATACGCTAAGCAAAAGCTCCTGACCGCAACGGCTTGGGGGTCCCAAATGGGGTCCGACCAGATGAGATCGGAGGGTCGCGCCGCATCGATGATGCATCGGCGATACGGCTCGATGTGGAACCTGATTTTCTCCACGCTGACAGCGCCGATGCATCGGCGATGCGGCGCGATCCTCTGACCCCATCTACTCGGCATCCACTCGGGAGGCCTCGAAAAGGGTACCATTGCTGGGGCGGTCGCCAGCTTCTCCTGAGGGTCGAGGGGCCAAGGTCAAAGCTGCAGAAGATGTCTGGGCGTCTGGGGTCGCTCGGGGGCTCTGGAGTGTCCTGGAGGGGGGCCCACCCTCCTCGAGGCAATGGCGCATCCTCGAGAAAGGGGCACGACCCGCCGAATTACAGTCGAGCATCTGAGCACAGTTGGACCTAAGACATGGGCGGCGGGTGAGGAGGCCGTCGGCGACGTCATCCGCAAAACAGTGAGACGGGATCTTCTGGTCGGCCGTGTCGTCCAGCTTATCGTGCACTTGGGTCCGCCAGTGGGCCCTCGGGTGCTGGGTCCCCGCCGCCATCCGAGGGTCCGTGGCGCAATCAGCTGTGCCAGCACAATCTACACAGTCGGACCTAGGCCAGAAGAACATCCCTCAAGAGCATGAGACCCTCCGACGACCAAAACACACAGAACATGCAAGGGTACCGTCCCCAGGATGCACCAGAGCATCCAACAAACGCGAAAAACACGAGGGTACCCTTTCCGAACCGACCTCGATCTTCGACCTCGGTCCAACTGTAACATAGTTACCTCCTCCAGAAACGCTGGGCCAGCGTGTCGTAGCCAGCTGGCCGGAAGGCTGGCCCAGTCTCCCGAGCACGTTCGCCCTCCAGCGTTATCAGCAGAAGTTGGCCCTGGCTTGTTTTGAGAAATTTCCTGAACGATAATTGGCCCAATTTTTTTGAACGATAATTTTCTTGATCTCATTTTCGGTTGTAGTGGCAAACCCCCTTTTGGCATTGCCTGGCGAGGGGATGTCGTGCGAAGCAAAGCGGTTGGCTACGCGCAGGAGTGGCTCTTCGCTGGAGCGACCCAGATCTCCGTCGCCATGATCTTTTCAAGCCGGTTATTCATCCTCTATTTCGGCCTTTGGTGCCCGATGTCGGGCTTGGGGAATCTCTAATTTTTTCGCCAGAGTGATTTTCGCCGGGGAGGGTTCTCGTCGGGTTTTCGGATATTTCTGTTGGTTCTTGGAGGTTTTCTCGCCCTTGGATGCTCTCCAGCAGCTGCGCCTCATCAAGGGCGTTCTGGGAGTCCCGATCGCCCCGAACCTTGGCATCGCTCAGAGTTGTGCCTTGTGTCTCGGCGAGGACCATCGAGGAGCATGTTGGGTCATCTCGCGAGAGAAAAGGATGCACGAAACCAAAACAATGCACGGAGAATGGACGCCCGAGCGATGGCAAGCAACGGCCGCCGGAGGCCTGAGCCAGAGCGGTTGCCACTCTCCAGTGTGGGCGGCTCGGCGGCGCGGTGGCGCAAAGATAAAATCGCGCGCCGCGCATCACGGGTCGCAATGCGATCAGTTTGGCGACTTGGAGTGACGTATCGCATACGTTGAAAAATGAAGCATCGTTAAAGCACATGACCAGGACCATAGACATTATCTTCTTGCAGCAACGTACGAGCCGGATCGATTCGTGATGGCCTTGGGGTACAAAATTGGGCGCAAACGCCCAGTGTGAAAAAATGCAGCGCCCGGATCTCAGGGTTAGGCGACCTATGATGTCCTATCACATGCGTCAATTGTAGCGTGTTGGCCCCATGTGCCGTTTTTGCGACAATTCGACGGAAGAAGCACGCTGTCCCGAGGCAGGAAGAACGCCGGGAACCGACAAAACCGTCCGAAAATGTCAAGCTTCGATAGCCCAGCAACGTCCGAAAGCCTTTGGTCGTGGTCCCCCGCTTTATTGCCCTCCATCCTTAGAGCTGCACCTTCCGCACCTTCTGCGCGGAAGGGTGCCGCCGCGATGCAGCCGCCACGGCCGCCGCCGCGGCCTCGACCGGGGGAGCCGCTTCCGCCACCGGCCTGCGCCAGGCGCCGCGCCGGCTCCCGCGCGCCCTCCGGCACCCCGAGCACCGGCAGCCGCAGCAGCGCCAGCGGGAGCTCTGCGGCACTGTCGCCACGAAGCAGACGGGCCCTGAGAGAAAAGGGTCCTGAGGCTGGTCTATGGGACCCAGGCGTTGCAAGCCTCCTCCTCCTCCTCCTCTTCCTCCTCCTCCTCCTCCTCCTCCTCCTCCTCCTCCCCCTCCTCCCCCTCCCCCTCCTCCCCCTCCTCCCCCTCCTCCTCCTCCTCCTCCTCCTCCTCCTCCTCCTCCTCCTCCTCCTCCTCCTCCTCCTCCTCCTCCTCCTCCTCCTCCTCCTCCCCCCCTCCTCCCGCACGGACGTCCCGGCGGAGGAGCAAAAACACAATTAGTGACACGCCGCCGTCCTTGAGATCCGGGCGTTGCAATTTTGTCCGCACTGGGCGTTTTCGCTCGGTTTCAGGCCCCGAGACCATCACAGATCGATCCGATTCGAGTCGTGATGTTTTGCGATGTTGCAATTTGTCCGCAACGTCGGATCTCAGGGTTGGCCGTGTTCGGGTTTCTCGGGCTCTCGCCGGGCCCACGGACCATCAAAAAACGATTCAGACTGAAAAGTTGGCCCCAGCCCCACGGTCCAGGGCCCGTTTCCCTCGGGGCCCGCTTTTGTCATGCCTAGGCAGTGTTCGGCCACGCGTGCAGTCAAGGCGTTGAGATAGGGACCGCTTCGGGTTCGGAAGGAGAGTCGGACCTGCCCTCCTACAGGGGGATTGTGGACGAAAAATAGAAAATAGTCAAAAATACACCAAAATTGACAAAACAAATAGTCAAAACATCGTCCCCCTATTATTTTCTGACTATTTGTGAACATTCCTCCTGTAGAGAGACACGCCCGACTTAATGTTACTTCGGTCCTTCCATGGTTGGTCCTCTGGCGGGCATTGTGCACCCAGGCGCTTCTGGGGCCACAGAGGACCTTCATTCCTCATTCAGCGTTCCCTATGGGATCAGCTTGGCTGTATGACCGACGTTCTGGGATGAGGGGTCGGACGTGTTCGTCGGTTTTTGGTAGTTCTCATGCCTCGGGATGTGTCCAGCACCGGATCGGGCAATCGGATCGGCGGCGCCACGGTGCACAACAGCGCCGTGCAAGCATCGGGCCGCATCGGATCGCTGGAAGATCGGAATCGAATCAGGTCGGTCCGGCCAGAATCGATATCGAAAGTTAGCCAACGTGGACCCCAAACAGCGCGTGCTAGTGCATTATATGTGGCGTATGTAAGCTATGTGGTGCAGTATATGTAATGCAGTAGTATATGTTGTGCATACATATGTACATTTAGTTGCACATATATTCATATTTACAAATATACATGTTGATAGAGATGCAGGCTATGTGATGCAATCTACGTGCTGCAAGTCATTAATACTCGCAGTGAGTTGTCAACTCCACTGCTCGCGCAATCATCCCACCTTTCCACCCACCCGCAACTTGGTTTGCAAAACCAATGCGACGGCGATTGCGGTGTGTATTTTGCATTGGCTTGTGCATCTCCGCGGCCGCGCTAGCCCGCGCATGCTCGCGCGCGCAGCGGCCAACTGGTGCGGCGCGACCGACACGGCCGCTGTGGCGCTGACCGCAGGGCACTTCCCACCGCGCACTTCAGTGCGAGTCGGTGACTTGGGCGGGCGCGGTATCATGGCGACGCCTACAACGGTAGACGCTATCATGAGAGTAGCGATGATGGTGACGATGGTGGCGATGCCGACGGCAAGGCCAATGACGGCGCCGATGTTGATCACGCCCGCCGATAACGATGACGATGCTTTCGCGCCGGTGAAGGACTTCGACATGCGCACCCAGCCGACGCGCGCGCGTGGCCCACGTGGCATTATGTGACACGGATCGTGCCCCCCCCCCAGCACGCGAGCAACGGCGTTCAAATGAGTTCGACATGTGGCGCGAGAGGTCCGTTTGGCAGAATGTGATGATAATGTCGAAAGACCTACGCGTTGTTAAAAATCGCAAGAGCGCGCGCGCGGTGTCTTGTGTTCGAAAAGTGTTGTTGCAAAACCAGGTGCTTTTTTGGTATGAAAAATGTTTTCGACATTCTCGGTTTTGAAATCCGTATACAACCTAAAGTTTGTGAAAGATTTCGGCATGCGCGCGCGACGACGCGCGCGTGCACACTCCGCCCCACATTGTGCAAAGGGTTCTTGCGACAACACGCGCGCAAGGGCGTTCGAACGATTTCGACGCGCGCGCGCGAAAGGTACGTTTGGTAGCATGGTATGACGAGGCTGGGAGAAACACAAACAGTTATTGTATTCTGAATATTTGCAAGAGCGCGAGCGCAAGCTTGTGTTGAATACCCTCTTTGCGAAACCATGTGTTTGTAGCGATGCTGGTGACGATGATGACGATGGCGACGGCAAGGCCGATGGCGGCGCCGATGCTGATCACGCCAGTGACGATGATAGTGTCCACGCGTCGGGGGTGAAGGTTTTGGAAGGACTTCGACATGAACGAGTGGCCCGCATGCTATAATTTGACAGGGACCGACGCGCGAAAGGGCTGTCGAATGATTCCTCTCGCTTCGCGGGGTGCACGTCCGAAGCACGTCCAGTCCAGTCCTCGCGGGGCATTGGGGTCTTTCGGGACCCTCTTGACAGCGCATTGGGGCCTCCTGGGGTTTCGTTTGGGGCCTCTCGCGGCCTCTTGGGGGCATCTTGGGCCGGAGGCCGTCCTGCTGGATTCCCGCAGTCGCCATGAGGCCCTTTTGGGGGCCTCTCGGACCGTTTTGGGGCCCTCTGGGCGGTTTCTTGGGCCGTTTTGGGGCAATATTGGAGGCTGTTTGGGCCGTCGGAAACTCTAAGAGACGAACGAGGCGAGGACGCTAAAACCGTTTTAGTACCATCGGGAAATCGATGTGTTTGATTTCTACAAACGCGTTAAGGGGTCCTCTTGGGGCCCTTTGGGGCCTTCTTGGGGGTTTGTCGGGCCTTTTTGGAGTCATTGTGGGTCGCCGTGGGGCCGTCATGGCCAGTACTGAAGCCATTTTGAGCCGTCTTGACGCCCACATGGACCCCCAAGGGTCCCCAAGGCCCCGAATCATCGATTTACCACTGTAGGTTCTGAGGCCCAGAATGGGTTCAACACGATTGGTCGACGGATGTGGCTTGGCCCCTGGGGGAGGGTTATTAGGGGGAGACATAATAATGCAACACGATACAAAATGTGGCAATGATGCAATCATTGGATACACCGGATACGTTACATGAAGGCTTCCGCTCCGCTGCGCGACTCGCCTCCGGCAACACGTCAGGATAAAACTCTCGCCGTTGGAATGAGCTGCGTCGAGCGCGGGTCTGTCGTCGCGGCCACTTTTCGTGTCCTTGCTAGGAAACGAGTCGGGCAAAAAGATGGCGCCATGTTGTCGCGCGTCATCCAGGTTTCTGGATCGCATATGCGGAGATTGTAATCGATGTGCATAGTGCGCAGGTGGAGAACACGTGCAGCCCAGTCGTCGCGGGGACTCCTAGGGGCCTGCGGGAGGCCTTTTCGGGAGGCTTACTCAGGGTCTCTGCGGGGTTTTCGGGGGGCCTCTTGGGTCTTGGGGTTCCTTTGGCGCGTCTTGGGCCGTTTTGGGGCGCTCTTGCGATGCGCGGCCCTTTCAGAGGTTCAAATTCGATGAGCATAGCAACAATGTGCCATTCGTACACAATTCCGCGGGCCTTTTGGTGGTATATTACGGTTTTTGGCGGGCCTCCTTGGGGGCCTCTGGAGGGCCTGTGGGAGGCCTCTTGGGAGCTTCCTGAGGGCCTTCTGGAGCGTTTTGTGCCGTCTTGGGGCGATGTTTGCGCAGTTTGGCCCCCTTTCGGAGGCTCGCGCATTTACAATTGCGACCAGAATGCGGCGGCGACGGGCGGCGCTGGGCCACCACAAGCAGGCGGGAGTGGCGCACAGGCCCAGTTGGACGGCGGCATCGGGCCACCACAAGCCGGGCGGACCGGCGCATAGGCCCAGTTCTTTCTGATTGTAGAAAGAATTTTTAGGTGCAAGCACTGTTTGGGTTTCAATGAACGGTACAGTTTCATCGTCGTCGCGCGCATTCGAGCCACCTTTTCGAGCACCCCCAGAAGGCTCAACAAGCTCGGATAAAGTTCCGGGGATGATCCTTCAGCGGGCACCATCGTGCTACCCTTGAAATGTCTAAGCACAGTTTGCATCGCTTATCCTTTTCCCAATTTGGCTTCTACGAAACCTGCGACGCTGATCACATGGCCCCCACGAGCCCCAGGACATATTCAAGCGGCCTTCAAGCGCCCCAAAATATTTTCAAAAGGATCCCCAAACGCGTCTCGGTCACCCCATGGGCGCCGCAATGCGTCCTCCAGACAATCGAAAACACGTGAAGACGGCTCTCTTGTGCATCCTTGCGCAGCCAATCCGATTCAATGTCGTTTCCGTGCCGACGCATCCCGATCCGACGCACGTCCAGACCCGTTCCGACGTCCAACTCGATGTTGGTTGATCTTGGCTATCAGTCAAGACGTTGAAGTAAGAAAAAGTTAGGGTTCGGAAGGCGATCGCTGTTCTTTCGGTGCTCCCGTGGTTGTTCCTCCGGCGCTCTTCGTGCACACTGGCGCCTTGGGGAAGGGGGCAAAGAGAGAGATGCTGAAAAATTACAAAACATAAATTTTCGGAGGTCCGCGTGGATGTCCTGGATCTGCGCTGGTCTCCACCCCCTGGGGCGCGGCGTGTGCCAGAGGTGACGCAGGGCAGCCCAGCGCCGATCCAAGAAAGCCATCGGAGTTCCGAAAGTTTATGCTCCCAAGCCGTCTTCTTTGCTTTATATACAGCATCACGTATCAGCCTGACTGCCGGTGCAAACTCGAGCGACGCAGAGAAGCGCGTCGTTTTTCGCCGACGTTGGCGCGTAAGCGTCCCGCGTCATGTCGCGCGCAAGCGTTCTCGTTTCCAATGTGACGCTCCGCGCTGGCGGCCCCGCGTAAGCCACCGCGGAGTGTCACTGTTGAAACGTGCGTATGGTCCGTTTCTTTTCGTCGGCCAGTTGGCTTGGGCATCGCTCGGACGTGTGCGCTTCTCTCGGCGAGGCCAGCGCCAGAGAATATGTACCATCTTGGCGCGTCATGGGTCACGTTGAGGAAACACACGCGCGAAACCGAACTGGTTGACGCAGTCCTTTCAATCCAGCAGAAACAATGCTTTAGAAATGCTCGCTGCAGACAGGGGCCGTGTCGGAAGTGTGGGAGGCTGTCCGCCGCAGACACGGCGATTCCCGCAAGACAAGATGGGGCCAGAGCAGACGGAACACGGGCTGGCCAAGTGTTTCGCATGTCGATCAGGAGCGCGCGAGGGGAAGAAAAATGGACGCCCCGAGCGATGGCCAGTGGCACCACCATGAAGGAGGTGGCCAGCGCGCGCGCGTCGCCCGAGCCCCTGGGCCGACCCCCGAGGAGTTCCCGCAGCGCCCCGCGCGGCGCCAGCGCGCCGAAGCGCCGAAGGAGGGCCGCACACGCGCGGCGCGGGCAGCGGCACCCGAGGCCGCGGCGGGGGCGCGCGCGGCGCGGGCAGCGGCGGAGGGCAGCGGCGCGGCACGCCGGCGCGCGCACGCCACGACGCGGGCAGCGGCAGGTTCTTGGCTATGTTCTGCCCCTGCCTCTCTCCCCCCCCCCCCCTCCTCCTCATCCGTGTCTGTTCGGTGCATTTTTCCTCGTCCTCCCTCCCCTCCCCATCCAACCCGCGGGCGGCCGAAGTGCGGTCGGCGGGCCTTGGGGCTGTCCAAGATGGCCCCGAGACAGCCGGGAGCCTTTAGAGGGTCTCGGGACCGTCAGGAAGCGGCTCGGGATGGAAAAACAGTCCTGGGGGATGGGTCGAGAGCCTCGGGGGTCGACGTTCTGAAGAGTCATGACGTCGGGGTTCTGGGACAGGGGGGGACTTTGTTCTAGGCATCCCAGGTGGGGTCCGAGTAGATGGGGTCTGAGGGTCGCGCCGCATCGCCGATGTATCGGCGATGCGGCTCGATGTGGAGCGCGATCTTCTCCACGCGGACGTCGCCGATGCACCGCCGACGTCGCCGATGCATCGGCAATGCTTCGACGATACCGGTCAATCCTCCGACCCCATCTTCTCTGACCCCATTGGGGGGGCCTCTATTTGTGGGCTCGGGAACTGGCAGGGTTCGTTTTTGTACCGGTTTCAAAAAGTTGTCCCTTGATCATGCAAATGGATCACCGAGTTTGCATCGACAAAAAACTCACCGAACGGCCTGCGCAGTCCGGGGATCCGACGCAGGCCGGGGATCCGAAGAACGGTCGCAACCAGTTCGAAAACGATCCGGATCCAGTCACAAAAATATGAGATGGACCAGGCCGCCACCAGGGGAAACGAAAGCAGTACAACAATGACGTCGTAGCATTTCAAAAATTGCACCGGAAATGGTCGAACATTTGGAACAAGAAATTACAGCGGTAGAACAGTATGCCATGTCGTTCCCAGGACCCACTGAGCAGGGGGGGATGCGGTGAGGAATTTTAGCTTAGCGTGTCGCGGCGCCAGCTCTGGCCCACAGCGCTTCGGCGCGACACGCTATCCACGTCCCGGCCCAGCCCACAGGCGTCAACGTCCCGAGCCTCTCCTGGCCTCCCCGCCCCGCGGAGCGGAGCGCCCTGCTATCCGCACAGCGCGTCGCCGCGACCGCCGCCGCGACGTGCTCAGCAGAAGTCCCCGACCGCAGGCTCAGGGGGGGGCGGACGCATCGACCCCCAAGTCGCCCACTGATCGCCGCCGATCGGGACCTGTGGGTGCCCCACCCCGCCCAGGCCCGCGCGGCTTGGGCAGCGGGAACCCATCGCCGATCTATCGGCAGGGCATCGCCGCTTCCAGGTCGATGGCTCCCCCCTTCTCGTTCCCCTCCCAGGTGCGGGGTGCGTCCGCTCCTGCCACCGTCGGCTGCAGGCAAGAGCCAGCTCAGCTGCACGCAAGAGTGGCCAGTCGCCAGGGGTCCTCCCGGAGGCTTCTGGAGGTTCCTGGAGGTCCTGGGGGTTGTCCTGCCTCGGGATGCGTTCCTGCAGCTGCGCCTCGCCGAGGGCGTTGTGGGGGTGGCCCGATCGTCCCGACCGGACGCCAGAGACCCGAGCTTTGGCCCGAGAGCAGTGCGATTGACCCTTCGCCGAAGTGCCTTTTGGCGCGCGGCTCTCGGGGGGCGCAAACGTGAGCACAAAGGACGCTAATGTCGGCAGGCAGGCCGCGCACCAACGTTCGTTCTTGCCTACGTAGGGTCGCCACGGATGCCCGCAGTTTGGTCGGTTCGGCTGCATGGCAGTCGGTTGCGTTCGGTCGGTTCGCTTCGGTCGACTGCTGTATCGTTGCTGCGTCGCTGCGCCGGTTATAGTTCCAGACGCTTCGCGTAACCCCACTGGGACGGCCGCAGCCCGACCGTGACCCGCCGCCGCCGGCGCTTCCGCCTGCGGCTGTAAAAAAAAAAGTAATCCCACTGGGTTCCGCAGCCTGGCTCAAGCCTTGGATCAAGCCATTTTGACTTAGGGAATTTACAACGTGGCTCAAGCCGCGGTGCCGTGTCTTCTCGGATGCTGGGCATCGGCCGAGGGTCTCGAGAAGGCGTTATTTCCCGCGAAGCGTCGCAATGGAGCGTAGCATTGCGGTTGCTCCGCGAAGGACTTCGATTAGGTGTGCAACTTGTCCCAGGCCACTACACTGCGACTGCAAGCGCATGCAGAAAAGGCGGGCAATGGCAACACGTGCTTTCAGTGCTCAGTGACATGTGGGAGGCGAAGCTGGAGCCCAACGTCATCTTCTCTGCAATGCAGGGACCCGTGCGTGCGAGAAGGGCGAGCAGTGGCAGCGGGCACTTGCGCTGCTGAGCGAGATGTGGGAGGCGAAGCTGGAGCCCGACGTCATCAGCTACAACGCTGGGATCAGCGCGTGCGAGAAGGGCGAGCAGTGGCAGCGGGCACTTGCGCTGCTGAGGGCGATGTGGGAGGCGAAGGTGGAGCCCGACGTCATCAGCTACAACGCTGGGATCAGCGCGTGCGAGAAGGGCGAGCAGTGGCAGCGGGCACTTGCGCTGCTGAGCGAGATGTGGGAGGCGAAGCTGGAGCCCGACGTCATCAGCTACAGCGCTGGGATCAGCGCGTGCGAGAAGGGCGAGCAGTGGCAGCGGGCACTTGCGCTTCTGAGCGAGATGTGGGAGGCGATGCTGGAGCCCAACGTCATCTCTACTACATTGCAGGGCCCAGTGCGTGCCAGAAGGGCGCAGGCTCCATTAACTCATAATCGCCCCGGGCTGGCCCCGGGCCGCCCCGGGCCGCCCAGGCAGGCCCCTGGACATGTCGAGAAGGCCCCCAGAAGCCCCCAAGACGGCCCCGGAGAGCCCGGAGAGCCCTGGCACGCTTAAAGATGGGCCCAAGACGCCCGAGATTCGCCCCAGGCGGCCCATGAGGCGTCCAAGACGCCCGAAGAGGCCTCCCAAGAGGCCTCCCAAGAGGGCCCCGAGCGACAGAAATCGTTGATTTCTACTGTGTTTTTCGATGTTTTCGGCCTCCTCGCCTCGTCGGCTTCCCGACGCTCCAAGACGGCCCAAGAAGTCCCCCCGACCGCTCCAAGACGGCCGAAGAGGACCCCAAGAGAGCCCCAAGACGGGCCAGGAGGGCCCCCAGACGGTCCCAAGACGCCCCAGGACGGCCCCAGGACGGCCCAGGAGGCGCCCAAGACGGCCCAAGAGGCACCCAAGACGGCCCCAGGAGCGGCCCAAGACGGCCCACGACAGCCCAAGAGGCGCCGAGGCGGGTCTCAGACGGCCCCAAGACGGCCCAAGAGGCACCCAAGACGGCCCGAGAGGGCCCTAAGAGCCCCCCCGGGAGGCCCAAAAGAAGGCCGAAGAGGCTCCGAAACGGCCCCCACGAAGCCTTCAGTGCCTTCAGAATTCCCTCCAGGAGCGGGGGAGCGGACGAGAGGCGACAGGCATATCGCAGGCAAAAACGCCCCAAGAGATCCCCAAACGGCCCCCACGAAGCCCTAAGTGGCCTCAGAATTGCTTCCAGGAGGGGGGGAGCGGACGAGAGGCGACCGGCATATCGAAGGCACAAAAGAACAATGTTGGACGCTCCGAGGGCCTTCGATGTTTCTCCGTTGGGGAGAGTCGTCGTAGGATCGACGATTGCCGACCGAGGGCAGCGAATCCAGTGGAGGCCCAAGAGGCCCCCAGGAGCCCAAAAGAGATCCCCAAGAGGTGCCACGGGGCTTAAAAACTGCTTCGAAGCGAGGGGGGCGGACGAGGGGACCGCCTCAGGAGGTTTTGGACGGTTTTGGGCCTCAAAATCGTCCGCTTTACGACGGTTTTGGAAGGATTTTGGCCTTCTCGCCTTTTCCGCTTTCCGACGCTCGAAGACGGCCCAAGAGGCCTCCAAGAGCGCCCCAGAACGGCCCAAGAGGTTTCCAAGAGCGCCCCAAGACAGCCCAAGAGGGCCCCAAGACGACCCAAGAGACGCTCAAGACGGCCCACGAGGGCCCGAAGACAGGCCCAAGAGGGGGCCAAGAGGGGGACCACGGACCGAAAATCCGAGCCTTCCGCCCCAAGAGGGCGCCAGGAGGCCCAAACAGGCCCCCAAGAGGCTCCAAGGGGCCGCCAAGAATCCCCCGAAGAGGCCCCAGGAGGCTCCCAAGGAGCCCAAACGAGGCCCCTACAGAGGCCCCAACAGCTTCCAAAATGGCCCCAAAGAGGCCTCGAGCCCGCCTCCGAGCTTCCTCGCCGCGAGGGTGCCAACACGGCCCCAGACCGGCCCAGGACGGCCCAAGGCGCGCTCAAGACGGCCCAAGACGATTCCAAGACGGTCCCAGGAGGGTGCGCCCAGGACGGCCCAAGGACGCGCCCGTTCGGGGCCTCAAGACGGGCCAAGATGGCAAGAGAGTCCCAGCTGGCAAAAATCGTTAATTTTCCATTGTTTACTGTTACACCCTTTGCGTTTCCCGCCGTTTCGGCGGTCCGATGCACCAAGAGGCCCCAGAAAGTCCCAGGAGGGTCCGAGGAACCGCCCAGGAAGGCCCCAAGACGGGCCAAGACGGACCCAGCACAACCCAAGGCGCGCTGCGACGGCTCAAGACGGCTCCAAGACAGCCCCAAGAGGGTGCCAACACGGCCCCTGCTGGGCCCAGGACGGCCCAAGGAGGCGCACAGGAGGGGCCCAAGACGACTCCAAGGCGGCCTCCTCACGGTCCCAGACGGCTCCAAGACAGCCCCACGAGGACCCCGATGGGCCCAGGACGGCCTACGGACGCGCCCATGAGGGGCCCACGACGAACCAAGACGGCCCCATCAGGGCAAACGGCGCCCTCAAGACGGGCCCAGACGGCTCCAAGACGGCCCTTTGAGGGAGTCAACGCGGCCCCACACCCTTCGGGCGCACACTTGGGGGGGCTGGGAGCTTGCGACAAGTCTCCCACATTCGTTGTCCTGCCCCATTCTGTTCGCCTGGAGGCCTCCTCCAACCCTGTGGGCGAACAAGAGGAATCCCAGCGGGACGCCAACCCTGGGGCCCGAAGGCCCCGCGCCGCTTGGGCAGAAGACGAACGCAGGGTCTGACAGGCCAGCTACCGCCCCCCTTTGCCCGATATGCTGTCCCATTCTGTTCCCCCAGGGGCCTTGGCCAACTCTTCGGGCCAAGCAGACCGGACCCCTGGGACAGCAGCCAATTGATATGACCCTGGGACCTCTCCGCATTCTTCGGACGAGCATCTGGGGGGCCCAGGAGATTCGGACATGTCTTCCCCATTCCTTGCCCTGTCCCGTTCTGTTCGCCCGAAGGCCTCCACTGACCCTCTGGGCGAACAGAATGGGACATGGCGAACAAACCCTCCCATTGGCGGTGATGCGACTGGATCGCACCATCAAGGCGCGCCCGGAGGTGATGGCCGACCCAACAGCGGTTTCTCTTAAGAGTTCACTGGATTTCAAATTTTCTTGAAGCTCTCTTGGGCCCTCCCTGTAGATCCTTGCGAGCCTCCCCGGCGCTTTCGGTGGCTTTCCCCGATGGCCTCCCGAGCCCTTCCCCGAGCGCTCCTGAGACGCCTCAGATGGGCTTCGACTTCGACGCACATCCCCGAGAGACTTCGAAACTGTCCTCAATAGGAGGGGGGTGAACGAGCAGTGCGCTGGGCCAAGCTGCTGCAGCGCTGCAAGAGCTCGGACACGAAGGCGCGGTCTCGCTGCCGCCGCCCGAGCCGCCGCCGTGTTTGTAGATTTTCGGTACAATCTGCGCCGTTCCTCCGAGAACCATTCCAGAAAGATGTCGTGGACGGAGTCCACGGGTCAGCCCTAGTCTCTACTACATTGCAGGGCCCAGTGCGTGCCAGAAGGGCGCAGGCCCCAATGCACCGAAACCGCCCCGGGCTGGCCCCGGGCCGCCCCGGGCCGCCCAGGCAGGCTCCAGGACATGTCGGGAGGGCCCCCAGAAGCCCCCAAGACGGCCCCGGAGAGCCCCGGCACGCTTAAAGATGGGCCCAAGACGCCCGAGATTCGCCCCAGGCGGCCCAAGAGGCGTCCAAGACGCCCGAAGAGGCCTCCCAAGAGGCCTCCCAAGAGGGCCCCGAGCGACAGAAATCGTAGATTTCTACTGTGTTTTTCTATGTTTTCGGCCTCCTCGCCTCTTCGGCTTCCCGACGCTCCAAGACGGCCCAAGAAGTCCCCCCGACCGCTCCAAGACGGCCGAAGAGGACCCCAAGAGAGCCCCAAGACGGGCCAGGAGGGCCCCCAGACGGTCCCAAGACGCCCCAGGACGGCCCCAGGACGGCCCAGGAGGCGCCCAAGACGGCCCAAGAGGCACCCAAGACGGCCCCAGGAGCGGCCCAAGACGGCCCAAGACAGCCCAAGAGGCGCCGAGGCGGGTCTCAGACGGCCCCAAGACGGCCCAAGAGGCACCCAAGACGGCCCGAGAGGGCCCTAAGAGCCCCCCCGGGAGGCCCAAAAGAAGGCCGAAGAGGCTCCGAAACGGCCCCCACGAAGCCTTCAGTGCCTTCAGAATTCCCTCCAGGAGCGGGGGAGCGGACGAGAGGCGACAGGCATATCGCAGGCAAAAACGCCCCAAGAGATCCCCAAACGGCCCCCACGAAGCCCTAAGTGGCCTCAGAATTGCTTCCAGGAGGGGGGGAGCGGACGAGAGGCGACCGGCATATCGAAGGCACAAAAGAACAATGTTGGACGCTCCGAGGGCCTTCGATGTTTCTCCGTTGGGGAGAGTCGTCGTAGGATCGACGATTGCCGACCGAGGGCAGCGAATCCAGTGGAGGCCCAAGAGGCCCCCAGGAGCCCAAAAGAGATCCCCAAGAGGTGCCACGGGGCTTAAAAACTGCTTCGAAGCGAGGGGGGCGGACGAGGGGACCGCCTCAGGAGGTTTTGGACGGTTTTGGGCCTCAAAATCGTCCGCTTTACGACGGTTTTGGAAGGATTTTGGCCTTCTCGCCTTTTCCGCTTTCCGACGCTCGAAGACGGCCCAAGAGGCCTCCAAGAGCGCCCCAGAACGGCCCAAGAGGTTTCCAAGAGCGCCCCAAGACAGCCCAAGAGGGCCCCAAGACGACCCAAGAGACGCTCAAGACGGCCCACGAGGGCCCGAAGACAGGCCCAAGAGGGGGCCAAGAGGGGGACCACGGACCGAAAATCCGAGCCTTCCGCCCCAAGAGGGCGCCAGGAGGCCCAAACAGGCCCCCAAGAGGCCCCAAGGGGCCGCCAAGAATCCCCCGAAGAGGCCCCAGGAGGCTCCCAAGGAGCCCAAACGAGGCCCCTACAGAGGCCCCAACAGCTTCCAAAATGGCCCCGAAGAGGCCTCGAGCCCGCCTCCGAGCTTCCTCGCCGCGAGGGTGCCAACACGGCCCCAGACCGGCCCAGGACGGCCCAAGGCGCGCTCAAGACGGCCCAAGACGATTCCAAGACGGTCCCAGGAGGGTGCGCCCAGGACGGCCCAAGGACGCGCCCGTTCGGGGCCTCAAGACGGGCCAAGATGGCAAGAGAGCCCCAGCTGGCAAAAATCGTTAATTTTCCATTGTTTACTGTTACACCCTTTGCGTTTCCCGCCGTTTCGGCGGTCCGATGCACCAAGAGGCCCCAGAAAGTCCCAGGAGGGTCCGAGGAACCGCCCAGGAAGGCCCCAAGACGGGCCAAGACGGACCCAGCACAACCCAAGGCGCGCTGCGACGGCTCAAGACGGCTCCAAGACAGCCCCAAGAGGGTGCCAACACGGCCCCTGCTGGGCCCAGGACGGCCCAAGGAGGCGCACAGGAGGGGCCCAAGACGACTCCAAGGCGGCCTCCTCACGGTCCCAGACGGCTCCAAGACAGCCCCACGAGGACCCCGATGGGCCCAGGACGGCCTACGGACGCGCCCATGAGGGGCCCACGACGAACCAAGACGGCCCCATCAGGGCAAACGGCGCCCTCAAGACGGGCCTAGACGGCTCCAAGACGGCCCTTTGAGGGAGCCAACGCGGCCCCACACCCTTCGGGCGCACACTTGGGGGGGCTGGGAGCTTGCGACAAGTCTCCCACATTCATTGTCCTGCCCATTCTGTTCGCCTGGAGGTCTCCTCCAACCCTGTGGGCGAACACGAGGAATCCCAGCGGGACGCCAACCCTGGGGCCCGTGGGCCCCGCGCCGCTTGGGCAGAAGACGGACGCCGGGTCTGACAGGCCAGCTACCGCCCCCTTTGCCCGATATGCTGTGCCATTCTGTTCCCCCAGGGGCCTTGGCGAACTCTTCGGGCCAAGCAGACCGGACCCCTGGGACAGCAGCCAATTGATATGACCCTGGGACCTCTCCGCATTCTTCGGACGAGCATCTGGGGGGCCCAGGAGATTCGGACATGTCTTCCCCATTCCTTGCCCTGTCCCGTTCTGTTCGCCCGAAGGCCTCCACAGACCCTCTGGGCGAACAGAATGGGACATGGCGAACAAACCCTCCCGTTGGCGGTGATGCGACTGGATCGCACCATCAAGGCGCGCCCGGAGGTGATGGCCGACCCAACAGCGGTTTCTCTTAAGAGTTCACTGGATTTCAAATTTTCTTGAAGCTCTCTTGGGCCCTCCCTGTAGATCCTTGCGAGCCTCCCCGGCGCTTTCGGTGGCTTTCCCCGATGGCCTCCCGAGCCCTTCCCCGAGCGCTCCTGAGACGCCTCAGATGGGCTTCGACTTCGACGCACATCCCCGAGAGACTTCGAAACTGTCCTCAATAGGAGGGGGGTGAACGAGCAGTGCGCTGGGCCAAGCTGCTGCAGCGCTGCAAGAGCTCGGACACGAAGGCGCGGTCTCGCTGCCGCCGCCCGAGCCGCCGCCGTGTTTGTAGATTTTCGGTACAATCTGCGCCGTTCCTCCGAGAACCATTCCAGAAAGATGTCGTGGACGGAGTCCACGGATCAGCCCTAGTCAGCTACAACGCTGGGATCAGCGCGTGCGAGAAGGGCGAGCAGTGGCAGCCGGCGCTTGCGCTGCTGAGGGAGATATGGGAGGCGAAGCTGGAGCCCAACGTCATCTGTACTACAATTCCGGGCGAAGCGCGCGCGAGAAGGTCAGGCAGTGGCAGCGCCCCGGGCCGCCCAGAGAGCTCGCGGGCCGCCCGGAGAGCCTCCGGGCCGCTGCCCGACGGGCCCGGGAGACCCCCGGACCGCTGGCGGACTGATCCAGGATTCCCAGATCGTCCCAAGACGGCCTCAGGAGGTCCCGAAGACGGCCCAAGACGGTCCAAGAGTGTATCCGAGACGCTTAAGATGGCTTCAAGACGCCTTCAAGACGGCCCGGGACGTGTCCACGAGGCCCCCAGAGCGCTCGAAGTGTACCTCCAAGAGGGGCCGCAGAAGCCAAAATCGTTGATTTTCTTTGTTTCTTCCGATGTTTCTGGCCTTCTCGCATTTTCGGCTTTCCGACGCCCCAAGACCGCCCAAGAGGCCCCCCAGACCGTTCCGAGACGGCCCAAGAGGCCTTCAAGACGGCCCCAAGACGGCCCAAGAGGGCCCCAAGACGGCCCAGGAGTCGCCCAAGACAGCCCAAGAGGGCCCCAAGAAGTCCCCAAGAGAGGCCCCAGACAGGGACCCGGAACCCCAAGAGGCCCCCAGGAAGCCCCAAGACGCCCCAAAGAAACGCCGGGACGCTCCCAAGACATCCCCAGGAGGCCCCAGGACGCCCCAAAGAGGCTCCAAGAGGCCCCCCAGAGGCCGCCAAGCGCCCCCAAAGACCCCCAAGAGGCCCCAAAAGAGGGCCCAAGAGGCCCCAAGACGCCCCCAAACTGCTACCAAGAAGCCCCCAAACTGTCTCCCAGAGGCTCCCGAGAGGCCAGCCATGAGATCCCAACCAACATCCACGAGATCTCTTACCCATTACCCAGGCCCGCAGCGACATTGCCCGCAGGCCACTACAGCCAGTTCGGGGGCCCTACGTATACCAGCACCCGCACCCTTGGCTGCATCGGGGGCCTCACCACTGCTCTCTCGGTTCTGCTGGCTTCGATCTGCCAGAGCTCTCGAGACGGCCATCTCGACGGCCCGAGAACCCCGAGATGGCCCCAGGACCACCCTGCGCGGGCCCGCTGACGTGGCCCCTTCACTCTGACGGTGCCTGAAAACTCTTGAGTTTGCTGATCGCGCCCAGTCCCAGCGCGATTAGCAAAAACCCATTCCTTTTCACGCTTCCAGGTCAGTGCCCCCGGGGCTCCCCGACTGCTTTCTGAGATCGCCCCTGGACGTGGCCCCTTACACGTCGGCCCCACGCGCGGCCTCCAAACGGGACCCCCAAAGGCGGCCCCCACACAAAGCCTCCGAAGGTCGCCCCTACCGCCCCAGTAAGCGTGGCCCCTGAACGTCAACCCCACGCGTAGCCCCCAGGCGCCCCCAAACGTGGCCCCAACACACACAGCCCCCAACCATTGCCCTCAAACGTGACCGTCATATCTGCCCCCGAACCCCACACCCTCAAACGCGACCGTCACATGTGCCCCCGAACCCCGCACGCGGCCCCCAAACATGGCCCCCAGCAGGGCCGCGAACGTTGGCCCCAACCATGACACCCTGACGAGACCCCCCAACGTGGCCCTCAAACGAGGCCCCCCAACGTAGCGCCCAACTCTGGCCCCCACGCGTCCACCCCCCACATCGAACTTCTCGCGCACAGGGACTCTGTAAGATCGTTCGGGCCCCCTTACTCTGATTGCGTCTGAAAACCTATGTGTTTCTGCTAATCGCGCCCAGGCCTCGCGCGATTTGCAAAAACACATTACTTTTGACGCTTCCAGTGCTTCCGACACGTGCGCGTTCGGGACCAATGCCTGGACCTGCGGGTCGTGGATTTTCCACGGGTTCACACTAGTCTGCTACAACGCTGGGATCAGCGCGTGCGAGAAGGGCGAGCAGTGGCAGCGGGCACTTGCGCTGCTGAGCGAGATGTGGGAGGCGAAGCTGGAGCCCAACGTCATCAGCCACAGCGATGGGATCAGCGCGTGCGAGAAGGGCGAGCAGTGGCAGCGGGCACTTGCGCTGCTGAGCGAGATGTGGGAGGCGAAGCTGGAGCCCAACGTCATCTCTACTACATTGCAGGGCCCAGTGCGTGCCAGAAGGGCGCAGGCTCCAATGTCTCAAAACCGCCCCAGGCTGGCCCCGGGCCGCCCCGGGCCGCCCAGGCAGGCTCCAGGACATGTCGAGAGGGCCCTCAGAAGCCCCCAAGACGGCCCCGGAGAGCCCCGGCACGCTTAAAGATGGGCCCAAGACGCCCGAGATTCGCCCCAGGCGGCCCAAGAGGCGTCCAAGACGCCCGAAGAGGCCTCCCAAGAGGCCTCCCAAGAGGGCCCCGAGCGACAGAAATCGTCGATTTCTACTGTGTTTTTCGATGTTTTCGGCCTCCTCGCCTCTTCGGCTTCCCGACGCTCCACGACGGCCCAAGAAGTCCCCCCGACCGCTCCAAGACGGCCGAAGAGGACCCCAAGAGAGCCCCAAGACGGGCCAGGAGGGCCCCAAGACGGTCCCAAGACGCCCCAGGACGGCCCCAGGACGGCCCAGGAGGCGCCCAAGACGGCCCAAGAGGCACCCAAGACGGCCCCAGGAGCGGCCCAAGACGGCCCAAGACAGCCCAAGAGGCGCCGAGGCGGGCCTCAGACGGCCCCAAGACGGCCCAAGAGGCACCCAAGACGGCCCGAGAGGGCCCTAAGAGCCCCCCCGGGAGGCCCAAAAGAAGGCCGAAGAGGCTCCGAAACGGCCCCCACGAAGCCTTCAGTGGCTTCAGAATTCCCTCCAGGAGCGGGGGAGCGGACGAGAGGCGACAGGCATATCGCAGGCAAAAACGCCCCAAGAGATCCCCAAACGGCCCCCACGAAGCCCTAAGTGGCCTCAGAATTGCTTCCAGGAGGGGGGGAGCGGACGAGAGGCGACCGGCATATCGAAGGCACAAAAGAACAATGTTGGACGCTCCGAGGGCCTTCGATGTTTCTCTGTTGGGGAGAGTCGTCGTAGGATCGACGATTGCCGACCGAGGGCATGGAGAATCCAGCGAAAGAGGAGAAGAAGGTGGAGGAGGAGGAGGAGGAGGAGGAGGCGGAGGAGGAGGAGGAGGGGGAGGAAGCAGCAGGACCTCCGAGCAGCAGCAGCAGCTGAGGAACACAGGAGAGCCCGACGCCATCATGATTGCCTTTCGGCCCTGCAGCCGCAGCCCCCCGCGCTTGCCCAGAGACCCCTCGCCACGTCGAGCTGATGTCGTGGACGGAGTCCACAGGTCTGCCCTAGTCAGCTACAGCGCTGGGATCAGCGCGTGCGAGAAGGGCGAGCAGTGGCAGCGGGCACTTGCGCTGCTGAGCGAGATGTGGGAGGCGAAGCTGGAGCCCAACGTCATCAGCTACAGCGATGGGATCAGCGCGTGCGAGAAGGGCGAGCAGTGGCAGCGGGCACTTGCGCTTCTGAGCGAGATGCGGGAGGCGATGCTGGAGCCCAACGTCATCTCTACTACATTGCAGGGGCACGTGCGTGCGGGAAGGGCGCAGGCTCAAATGTCTCAAAACCGCCCCGGGCTGGCCCCGGGCCGCCCCAGGCCGCCCAGGCAGGCCCCAGGACATGTCGAGAAGGCCCCCAGAAGCCCCCAAGACGGCCCCGGAGAGCCCCGGCACGCTTAAAGATGGGCCCAAGACGCCCGAGATTCGCCCCAGGCGGCCCAAGAGGCGTCCAAGACGCCCGAAGAGGCCTCCCAAGAGGCCTCCCAAGAGGGCCCCGAGCGACAGAAATCGTTGATTTCTACTGTGTTTTTCGATGTTTTCGGCCTCCTCGCCTCGTCGGCTTCCCGACGCTCCAAGACGGCCCAAGAAGCCCCCCCGACCGCTCCAAGACGGCCGAAGAGGACCCCAAGAGAGCCCCAAGACGGGCCAGGAGGGCCCCCAGACGGTCCCAAGACGCCCCAGGACGGCCCCTGGACGGCCCAGGAGGCGCCCAAGACGGCCCAAGAGGCACCCAAGACGACCCCAGGAGCGGCCCAAGACGGCCCACGACAGCCCAAGAGGCGCCGAGGCGGGTCTCAGACGGCCCCAAGACGGCCCAAGAGGCACCCAAGACGGCCCGAGAGGGCCCTAAGAGCCCCCCCGGGAGGCCCAAACGAAGGCCGAAAAGGCTCCGAAACGGCCCCCACGAAGCCTTCAGTGCCTTCAGAATTCCCTCCAGGAGCGGGGGAGCGGACGAGAGGCGACACGTGCGCTGGGCGCCTGAGCGGCCCCGTTGCGAAGAAGATCGCAGCGACGGGGACATCACGATGGCGAGCACCCCGCGCCATCACGACGTCGTGGACCGCGACGTCCGCCATTCTTGCGGGGAGTGCGCCCCGCATGTGCAGGCGCCGCATTTTAGTTGCGTATGCACCTCCTGTCTTCGGTTCCCACCACGCCTCCTATCCCAATCCCCCGAACTTGCTCGCACCCCTGGCCATGCAGCCGCCGTCCCTGTTGCCGCCGCCGTCGTCGTCACATCCGTGAGCTGGACGGGGCCTTCTCAGCAAAGGCGGATGGAGGACGGAACGACGACGACGACGGCCACGACTACGACGAAGGCAATGACGACGACGACGACGACGACGACGACGACGACGACGACGACGACGACGACGACGACCACGGCGGCAGCGCCGGCGGCCGCGACGGCGACGACGCCAGCAGTGACGCCGACGGCGACGGTGACGGCGACGGCAAATGCGACGTCGACGGCGCCGCCACGGGAGGGCCCCGACGAGGGTTCCGTACTTTCCCGGGCCCCCGAAGCAGACCGTCACGCAGACAGGCGCGCTTCGACGGAACCTCGCGGTTGTCTGCGTCGGGCCTCATCGGGGGGGGGGGCGGCGGAGATCTAATCAGGCGGACTCGTGGGGTTTGCTTTCTTGGAGGCTCGTGTAGCCGTATCGGGCTCTGTTGAGGCCTCATTGGGGGCCTCTTGGGGCCTTTCTGGTTGGGGGCCTCAATCTCGGGGGAGGCGGAGATCCAGTTAGGTGGGCCTGGGGGGGGGTTTTCCTGGGGGCCCTTGCGAGCTCTTCGGGGTGGTGACTGGATCTCGGCGAGGGCGGAGGTCCAATGAAGCGGGCCTCCAGAGGCTCCTTCGGGGGCTCCTGGAGCTGTCGCGGGCCCGTTTCGGGGTCTCCTGGGGGCGTCTCGAGGCCATCCTGAGAGCGGGCGATTCGATCTCGGGGAGGGCGGAGATCCAATCTGGCAGCCCCAGGGGGGGGCTCTCTCGGGGGCTCTTGGAGCCGTCTCGCCTGCCGTCAGATTGGACGCCGTAGCAGCCTTCGCGTGGCAATCGTCTTCAACTCTTCACGCTTCGCGTATCCCCACCAGCCCATCTACAAGCAATCGCCAGGGGAGTTGCCTTGATCAGACCTGTGTAGCAGCATGCGGCCTCCCAAGGGGGGGGGGGCTCTCTCGGAGGCTCTTGGAGCCGTCTCGCCTGCCGTCAGACTGGACGCCGTAGCAGCCTTCGCGTGGCAATCGTCTTCAACTCTTCACGCTTCGCGTATCCCCACCAGCCCATCTAAAAGCAATCGCCAGGGGAGTTGCCTTGATCAGAACTGTGGAGCAGCATGCGGCCTCCCAAGGCAAGGGATAGTGCTGTTCAGGGCGGTCTTGGGCCTCTCTTGGTGCTATTTGGGGGGTCTTGGTGCCCTCCTGCGCCATGATGGAGCCTTCCCAACGGGGCCCCCACGGGTGCTACAACGGACCCCCCTATTGTAGCACCCGTCGGGTGTCCTTTATGAGCTCTTTTGCGGTCCCTGTTGGCTTGTGTTTCAGCCGTCTTGGGGGCTCCCCTGGGGCTCTCTTGGGAGCTGTGGGGCGCCCTGGCGCCCTTTTGCGCGATTCTAGAGCCTTCCCAACGGGGCCCCCACGGGTGCTACAACGCACCCCCCTTTTGTAGCACCCGTCGGGTGCCCTTTTCTGGGTTCTTCTGAGGCCCCTGCTGGCTTCTGTTTGAGCCGTCTTGGAGCTCTCTTGGGGCTCTCTTTGGAGCTATGGGGCGCCCTCGGGCCCCCTTGGCCCATTCTGGAGTCATCCCAACGGGGCCTCCACGGGTGCTACAACGGACCCCCTTATTGTAGCACCCGTCGGGTGCTGTTTATGAGCTCTTCTGCGGCCCCTGTTGGCTTGTGTTTGAGCCGTCTTCGGAGTTCTCCTTGGGCTGCCTTGGGAGCTATGGGGCGCCCTGGGGCCCTCTTGCGCCATTCTGGAGCCTTCCCAACGGGGCCCCCACGGGTGAAACAACGCCCCACCCTATTGTAGCACCCGTCGGGCGCCCTTTGAGAGCTCTTCTGCGGCCCCTGGTGGCTTGTGTTTGAGCCGTCTTGGGCGCTTCTTCTGTTTTCTTCGCTTGTCCTCGTGCCCTCTTTCGCCGTCAACAGTGGCGGCCAGCGTCGCGACAGGAGTGGAGGGGAAGGAGGCGGAGAAAAGAAATCAAGGAGGACGGGGGAGGCTGCTGCCGGTGCTGCGGCTGGTGGTGGTGGCGGTGCTGCTGCTGAGCTGGTGCTGCTGGTGGTACTGCTGGTGCTGCTGGTGCTGCTGCTGGTGGTGGTGGTAAGGCTATTGCTGGGCTGGTGTTGCTGTTGCTGCTCGTGCTGGTGCTTTAGCTGGTGGTGGTGGTGTTTTTGCCGGTGCTGCTGCTGCGGATGCTGCTGGTGTTGCTGGTGCAGTTCGTACTGCCGCTGGTGTTGATGGTTCTCGTGCTGCTGTGCTGCTGCTGTTTCTGCTGGTACTTCTGCTGGTGCTGCTGCTGGTTCGGGCAGCACTTGAAACTCTCTTGGGGCCCTTTGAGGGTTCTTGGATGTGTGTCTGACGATATCTTCAACCACAAATCCGCGTGCAAGAAGGGCGAGCAGTGGCAGCGGGCGCTTGCGCTGCTGAGCGAGTTGCGGGAGGCGAAGCTGGAGCCCAACGCAGCCAGCTACAGCCTTGCGATCGTCGCTCTGCTCCGCAGAAGCGATGCGACAGGCTAGTCAGCCACACCGCTGAGGAACAGCGCTTGAGTGAAAGGTGGTCAGTGGCCGCGGGCTCTGGCGCTGTCGAACGAGATGTGGGAGGCGATGTTGGAATTCGGACGTTATCAGAACTTTAGCGTTGTGATCACTGGGTGCAAGAAAGGACGAGCATTGGCAGCCGACGCAGGCGCAGAGTCTTCCAAGACACCTCACCGCCCGACGCCATCATCCGCTACAGCACTGTGGACAGCGCGTGCAGAGCAGGCGTTGGCAGTGGTAGCCGGCTGTGGCGCTGCGGAGCGAGATTTTTCTCGAGAATCTGGAGCCCAGCTTAGCTACGGCGTCCTGAACAGCGCGTGCGAGAAGAGCATGCGTTGGAAGTGGCAGTGGTCAGTGGCGCTGCTGAGCGAGATAGCGGTCGTGAAGCCGGAGTCCGCCAACATCACTTACGGCACTGTGAACAGCGCGTGCGAGAAGAGTAGGCGTTGGCAGTGGCAGCCAGCAGTGGCGCTGCTGAGCGAGATGGCAGTCGTGAAGCTGGAGCCCAACATCAGCACCTACGGCATCGTGCACAGCGCGTGCAAGAAGAGCAGGCGTTGGCAGTGGCAGCAGGTTATAGCGCTGCTGAGCGAGATGGCAGTCGTGAAGCTGGAGCCCAACATCGGCCGCTACAGCACTGTGATCAGCGCCTGCGAGAAGGGGCAGTGGCAGCCAGATCCGGCAGCCGTCGCCGCAGCCGTCGCCGCCAGCAGTGGCACTGCTGAGCGAGATCCTGGTCGTGAAGCTGGAGCCCAACATCATCACCGACGGCATGCTGAACAGGCCGTGCGAGAAGAGCGGCCGTTGGCAGTGGCAGCCAGTCGTGGCGGTGCTGACCGAGATCTTGTTCGTGAAGCTGGTTCCCAACAGCATCGCCTCCGCAGCCATCAGAAGCCCGCACCTCGGATCGGACAGCGGCGCGTTGGAAGGACAGCCATCCCCGATGGAGGTGGATGACAGCAGCACCAATTCCCTGGCGACAGCCCCCTTGCGTCAGCATCAACAGCAGCAGCAGCAGCAGCAGTCCCCTGGCGACAGTCAAGAAGATCCCACTTCAGACACTCCTGGAGACAGCATCGTTGCGACAGTTGGCAGCGCCGCAGGGGGCGTGCCCGCGCTCGGAGACGTCCCTCACAATATCCTGTCGTCCTCCCTCAAGCGACCGAGACACCCTCTGCGTCCGATGTCCGAGTCCTGACGTCCATACGGACAACCCTGGCGGTCAGCTCACAGGATGAAGCAGGGCACGGTAGGCCTGAACGGCCATCAGTTGTCCCTGGCATGGACATCTCCGACAAACGGCCATCAGCCGCGCCTACCTTCCTAGTTCTCATACGGCCATCAGCCGT